GATTATGGTTATTGATTTGCATATGTTGAACCAGCCTTGCAACCCAGGGATGAAGCCAACTTGATCATGATGGATAGGCTTTTCTGATGTGCTGCTGGATTCAGTTTGCCAGTATTTTATTGAGGATTTTTGCGTTGATGTTCATCAGGGATATGGCCTGAAATTTTCTTTTTTTGTTGTGTCTCTGTAGGTTTTGGAGTTAGGATGATGATGATGACCTCATAAATGAATTAAGCAGGAGTCCCTCTTTTTCTATTGTTTGGAATAGTTTTGGAAAGAATAGTTTCAGAAATCCTCTTTGTACCTCTGGTAGAATTCAGCTGTGAATCAATCTGGTCCTGGGCTTTTTTTGGTTGGTAGGCTATTAATTACTGCCTCAATTTCAGAGCTTGTTACTGGTCTATTCAGGGATTCGACTTCTTCCTGGTTTAGTCTTGGGAGGGTATATGTGTCCAGGAATTTATCCATTTCTTCTAGATTTTCCAGTTTATTCGCGCAGAGGTAGTTACAGTATTCTTTGATGGTAGTCTGTATTTCTGTGGGATCAGTGGTGATATCCCCTTTATCATTTTTTTTTTTTACCATGTCTTTGATTCTTCTCCTTTTTCTTCTTTATAGTCTGGCTAGTGGTCTGTCTTGTTAATCTTTTATTTGAAGGGTTTTTTTGTGTGTCTGTTCCCTTCAGTTCTCCTCTGATCTTAGTTATTTATTGTCTTCCGCTAGCTTTTAAATTTGTTTATTCTTGTTTCTCTAGTTCTTTAATTGTGATGTTAGGGTGTTGATTTTAGATCTTTCTCACTTTCTGATGTGGGCATTTAGTGCTATATATTTCCCTCTAAGCACTTCTTTAGCTACGTCCCAGAGATTTTGGTATGTTGTGTCTTTGTTCTCCTTGGTTTCAAATAACTTATTTATTTCTGCCTTAATTGTGTTATTTATTCAGTAGTCATTCAGGAGCAGGTGCCCACCTCCATCTCTAGCTGGGTGACCTAAGCAATCAATCTGAACCTCAGCCCCTTTATTTGTGAAATGGGATTAATACTACTCATCTTGTAGGTTGTTGCTGGAATCAATAGTAGTAAGGTATGTAAATGCCTAAAACAGTGTGGGACACCATAAGAGGTGCTGATAACATTATTTAACTTTTCTATTTCGAAGAAAACATTACCACCATCTCAAAACTAGTGTCAATAACTGAAAGATTTTTTTTGTTGTTGTTGAAAGAATCAGTATCAACCTATGTATTTACTGATCTCCTATGAAATGTTACAGCACATAGCAAACAGAAACTGGCACATATGTATGACATATGAAGAATGATTGGCCTATGCTGTTATTTAAGTATTATGGATAAACATTTTTGGGGAGTCCAGATGATTTGATATATTTAAAGCATAAATGTCTTCAGACATGGAGCTTAAATTAGTCTTTCTCTTGGCCTTGAATCTTCATTTACCCAGTCAACAATGGTAAGGTAAGGTCTCTCCTTTTAAAATTCCTCCTAATGGCATCTAATGATAGTTAAGATTTAAAGTTGAGGGACTGAGGTACATGTTATTCATTTTAACAATCATTTTCTATGGAAGTTGCCTAGAATACATGTATTCTACTTGTTGCCAAAGAATTCTAACTGATATAGGCATTCTGGCACTGTGTGTTGGGTTTTATACCACAAGCTGTTTTGGGGTTTTATCACACAGGGTAGAGTCCTCACTCATACTCATTACACAGCTCCTCAGAGGTTTTTCAGTAACGAGGTGCTAATCTGGCAATAACCGCAACCATTTGTTGACTATTTACCCTGTTACAGATGTTTTATACACATTAATTATTTTATCCTTTTCAACAACCCTGAAAGGTAGATGCATAATGCCAATAATTCAGATAGGGAAACTGAGGATCAGAAAGGTTAAGGCACTTGCCCAAAGTCAGGGAACTCATGACAGAGGTAGGATTCAAACCTGTCTATGCTGACTCTGGTACTTTTCTGCTTTCCACTACACCATAACTGCTCCAGCATGGCTCCAGAAATGTTACATGAGGGGGAAATCCCATGTACCCCTAAATCTTCCCTCATTTTATTTCATCCCATTTCATCCCATTGTAAGGGGCTTGCTTTTACAACTTATCAAGGACGCATACATGGCTAAAATGTCAGCATCCATCTAACTCATTTCACTTGTGATCCAAAATGATATTGAAACTCTGCTCTCCCAAGAAATGAAAAGCCGGTGGGTTATTGCATTTCTTGGTTTCTTGCTTAAAAATAATTAATTTTGTTCAGAGCTCCTCAACTGTTTCTCTTGCCCTAGTGCTGAGGTAGTGAACTGGGTTGGGGGCTGGGGGAAGAAACCAGGCAAGGGAGGCAGGTCAGTTTTGATTTTATTGACAGTGAAAGCAGTTAATAGTTTAGGTAGAGCAAGCTCCCTTGCTAAACTTTGCTGCCATTACTGCCGCTGGGGTGAGATAATGTCTGGGGCCATCCCTTTGTTGGAGGAGGGAGGATGATGGGGCAAATAATGACAACAGGGCTCCTTCTTTGTGTTTATTATCAACAGTTCGAAAAAAGTGAATGCAAGAGAAAGAGTCAATAATAGGGAAAACTAGACAAGATAGCCTGGTGATCCCAGTGAGGCTGGTGGCTTCTGTCCCTGCCTCTTGCTTCTGGAGCAAACTATGATTATATGAGGCTCAGAATCTCCCAAGAACCAAGGAGGGCCGTATATATTCCTGAAAGTCACAGTGACATGTGGGAATGTGGCCAAACACCCTACAGTGTTCATTTATTTCTTGTAACAGAGTGCTGCTGTGCAAAGTTCCCATGGGTCAACTCGTGCTAGCCAGCTCTTCAGCCTCCCTAACTGCCTTCAAGGGGCTGGCTCTTTTGCCTTGCCTGACCTTGCAGTGGGGTGGAGGAGAGAATTTCAGAGAAGTGAATCAACCTCATCAGAAGGCCTGCTTAGTGTTTTACTTTGTGCTACACATGCATAGTAAGCTCATTTCATTTCCACAGCAATTCTTTGTTTAAAGGTAGGTAGAAGTTTCTCTATTTTACAGAATATATAACTGAGGTCCAGGAAGTTAAATAAATTCCCTAAGACCCGCCACTAGGAAGTGGTAAAAGTAGGATTTCAACTCATGTTTTGACTCCTTGTGGTCCTTCTGGTGACACAGATTCCTCTTAGCTGGGATGGTCTCCCAAGTTGAGAAAACAACCTCCCTGATCCCCCAGACCCCCACTCTCCCACTCCCCCAGGTCCCCACTCCTCCACTCCACTACTCCTTGCCCTGAAATGTGAACAATAATGATCATGGTGAACGAGGATGGTGATCATCTCAGGAAGAATGAATGCTCCTTCACTGGAAGCTCTTGGATTTTGTTTGAATTTCATCTTGTCTGATTTACAGAAATTAATGAGCTACTAGATCTAGACCTGGTGTGCCTTGATAAAAGGACTTATTTTTAGTGCGTTAGCATTTAAAAGGATCTGTTATAATTTCATGCTTAAATAACACCAAATAAGGGCCTGTGTTTGTCTAGTGTAATTGGAAGAAGCAATGGAAAAGGAAACAGTTGCTTCTGAACAAATGGCATGAATGCATCCTGGGAGAAATTTGAAGACAGAGAAACCTCCCAATAAAACAAACACCAGGGTTTTAATTATTCCCCTTGGAGAGCATTTCCCATAACCCAGAGATGGCTTTAAGGACACAGAGACCTACAGAAGGAGGTCGGGGATGTGTGTGGGGTGGCAGCGGGCATTAGAAGCCAGCGGCAGGGTTGCCTCAGTGAAGAAGTGCAGCTATCCATCAGAAAGCCTGCTTAGGTTGCTTGAAGACGGCGGGGAAAACACAGGAGTGACCCTCTCTCCCTTCTTGGACTCTGACAGGGCTGATTTGTGGACTCTCCCCTGTGCCTTTAACATCACCATCCTCAGGACCTCTGAGACCACCTAAGTCACAGTACCCAAAGCAATGGGGAAAAGCTGACTAAAATAACTAAAGCTGGGAGTGGTTAGAGACTCTGATGTAGTAAAAGGACTGCTCTTCCAGACGTCTGGACCTCTGGATCACGCACAGTCCACTGAGTCTTTCCTTTCCTGCTTTTTCTAAAGGCTTTTCCTGCCTGGGAGCTTCTCCCTCTCGCATCCTCCTCCCCTCAATACCTGTTGGCCCCACCCCTCCTGTGGCCACACCCCTTCACACTCAACCAGCACTCAGTCCGCGCTCCTGCTGGCCCCTTTATCCCATGGCAAAATTGTGCTCTCTTTGTGCATTTACATTTCTGCTGACTGTAAGGATCAGTTTAATTTCATGGGTGTCATTTCCTTCAAGAAATCTCTGTCTGAGCAGCGGCCCATCGAATCCCCGGTAAAACATATTTTCCTACGGTAATGATTTTATGGGCCCATAAGTCATGAATTTATTATGATCTCAGCCCTTGCTGCTGATTGCTGTAAAATGCAAAGTAATTAACAGCGAGCGGTAGCAGTTATTCCCACCTGGTAACGTGTTCCTTCGTTCGCTGATGGGTTTGATTAAAGTAATGACTAAAGAGTGAAGCCCGGCTGTAAAATATTACCATGATTAATGCTGTATCCTAAATGAGAAACAAAACTAACGGGCATGGTCTGAGAAATTAAAAAAAAATACACAATCCTTCCTCTGCCCCTATTCCCATCTTCCTTAAGCAATTGTTATGGCTCATTTAAGGTATGTCTTCCTTCCCATTAAATAATGTATGGATTCCAAGGCCAGAGGCTGGCTAGCCGAGCATATCACACAGTTCCCATAATGTCTGAAGTGCTGGTGTTAAGTTTTTTCCTTTTCTCTTCGATGTGCAGAATGGAGCATGGATGGGGGTATTCTTTGAGCTAAAGCCTATGAAGCTACTAAAGGGCTTTCTCCCACTCTGCATGAGGCAAGGGTCTTCAGTTAGGACCACCCCCAACCGTAGAGATATGATTAAAATTGATGACTCTCAATCACCTTTTCCAACCTTAGGAATAATTTGTCTCTATTGTCACATTGGTCTGGGGATACACAGAAACTCAACCAATGCCTGCTGTGATGTCCAAACACGTAACTGTCCTATACCCTGGTGCTATGAAGAGGTCAAGCTTCTTCAAGCTCCACCTTCCCTGGAAGACCAGCTAGGAAGCTCAGCTGTGAGTTGGCTCCAAGACAGCCCTGCTCATGGCATGCCAGTGTCTTCCCCTCTCAACTCTGAGAGCACTCCACATTTTAGAGAGCCGAGACCATAAACAGGCACTGTTCTCCTGGAGTATGCATGGGCAGGTAGAAGCAGGCTGTGGGTCAGGGAGTGGGCTGAAGGACATGTCCTGCTGAGGAGGTCATGGAGAGATGGGAGGTCTGCTTCTGCCCTCCTCCAGTGGTCTTGAAATTCAATTCACGTTACATCTTTGCAGGTTGGAAGAGAACAGCCGGAATAGTGTCAGGTTATGCAGGAAGCTATGTGCCAAGGGAGATTCCTCAAATATTTGGCTCTGGAAAGATTGTTTTTGCCAAGGGGGAGATGACGGAGGCTGCAGGCAGACAAGAGCCCATTTGATTAACTCATTATTGCATACCTAGTATATGCCAGTAACAGGAATACACTCTCTGCCATTAAGAAACTTCTAGTCTAGAAACATAAGACAAGTGGAAGATGATCAAAAAACCTCATTGGCAAGGGACAGGAGTAAAGAAAAGTGGTACCCTGGAAAGGGACTTGTGGCCATGATCTCCTCGGGGAGGGGTGTGGACAAACAGCTGAAGGGAGAATGCCGCACTGCCGCTGTGGGAGGTTGAAGTGGCTCTTGTGCACACCTTGTGAATTTGAAAGGGAAAAGACCATTTCTTATGGGGACAAACGGGCATCATTTTTCTGATTCATAGCCATGGAGACCAGGAAAAACAGTGCTATAAATGTGCACCTCTTTCTGCTTCAGCAAAGCTCAAAACATTTAAAAATACAAGGTTGTTATGAAGAGAGAGGTGGGGGGCAGACATGCACAGGCCCATTTTAAAGATTCAGGGAAATCTTTAAAGCTGCTCTCAGTAAAGACCAGATGCAAGGTCAGACCCTGTGTCTTTCCTGTTAACAAATTGGTGGCTGTTTGTTCAATGGATGGTGTTTAATATGCCAGGTTTCTGGAGGCTGCACTATCAAACCAATGGGCCACCTGGCTGTATTGGGCCATCCACAAACAGTGGCTATTATCATGACTCTGCTGTCCATCCCGGGAATATCACATGTGCCATGCGGGGAGGCACCAGGGTTCTCCCTATAGCAGAAAGACAGCTGTTTCCCAAATGCAAGGTATTGCATTTTCCTTATCATGGATGAAGCAGAGACAAGGTGAGATTGTGGATCAGGCAAGAGGAAAAATACTTTTTATTCTTTTCTTCCCCTTCCTTCTCAATCACTTAAAAATAACCCTTGTTGCATCATGTCTCAGAAAAAAATATAATGAACACGCACATTTTTGCCTTTACTTCTCCGGCTCTTGCTCCTTATAGGGGCAGATGAAGGAAAAGTTATTGGGATCGCAGTGCTGGCACCAGGAAGGTAAATGTGAAGCCCTCCCTCTCTCCACCGCTGAACAGGTCAAAAATGATTGCATCGGGCCTGAAGGGTTTATGTCTGCCGTGAGTCAGTCAGAGTGTTGGGGTAAATCAAGGCTGACGTTTTTAGCATCTGAGAAAAAAAAGCAATTGCATTTTATGTCTACATTTTGCTTGGCTAATCAAGGTACGGAAGAGACAGTCTGCCTGGGGAAACTTTCCCACTTTTTATTATTTAGGTAGAGTTTGGTTTTTCCCATAGAAACATGGAGCAAGTCTATAAAGGCTTTGGGTTAAAGAAAGGAAAAGGCTCTCCCTGTCAGTTCTGACTTGGAGAAATTTTAATTTGGCCGAAGGGGATGTGGGGAGGGACTGGACCTGTGAGCTACCTGAGCTGTCTTAGGGATAGCTCTGGAACAGCTGGGTGGATGACCACCTTTGCAATAAATTTCTTCTCTCCATAGGCCTCTAGCGGGGCCTAGGACATAGCAGAAACATGGGGGAGAGGAGGGGAGCTAGCTTGATGCTTTTGACTAAATTGAGTCCTTTAACTGAAGCAACCAGTGAAATAAGTACATAGATTAGTTAAAACTGTTGACCCCATTGACGCAGTTCAAGGTCAAGCCACAGTGAATGTGTGCAAGGGGAAAAGACAGATGGACAAATTATCTAGTAATTTTTTTTTTTAGCTTTCCATTTCCAAGGTCGGTTTATCTAAGTGCTTTGCCTTGGTAAATGAAAATGTATTTGGATTTCAAAAGTGTTATATTTTGCACTAGGGACGAGATTCAGCAAATACTACTTTCATGTGCTAACAGATAGTCATCATGATAGCTAATGTTCTGGAGGGAGGGGGCTTACTATGTAAAAGTGCTAAATAACTTTTTATGTGTTATCTCATTAAATCTCCATTGCTCCAGGAGCTAGTTATGATCCCTATTTACCAGTGAGGAGACTGATGCTTAAAGGGCTTGACTAATAAACCTGAGGTTATACCCAGCTCTCCTGAGCTGGTAAAATCTAGAGAAGTTTCTTGAACCAAGGCAATTCTTCCTTCATAGCCTTCATCCCTGTCTTCTATGCATGCTGCTTCAGATTTGATCAAAGCAGCTCTGCACATTCTAATAATTTTGGGAATATGAGATTCAACAAAAACACATTTCATGGATGTCTAGATTTTCTTTTCATGGGCTTGAAAAAGGTTAGGAACCAGCCCCAGGTCCTGCAAGTAGGTACTTATGCTGCTGATAATAGCTAAAATGTATTGCTCGCTTGTCATGTTCCAGGCACTGTGTTAAGCTCTTCATGTATATTTACTCACAGAAGTCCCATGTAGTTCTAAACAAATTGGCCTATTATGATCCTGTGTTCCAGGTGAAAAAAAACAGAGCCGCTGAGAAGTTTAGATTATTTTCCATGCATTTAGCTAAAAAGTGACAGGCAGGATGGGACACCAGGCACATTGACATCGGAGCCATCACACACACTCTCCTGGATAGCCCTCGCAGTGGCTTTGCCATGCTCACCGAATGTGTTTCTGGTGAGGCAATGGTGTTGGCAATTGTTAGTTGTTTGCCTGTGTTCTTATGTGTGTGTGCCCTCGAGTAATTGCTTTGTGATGTCCGACTAAAGAGACTTTCAAGTTCTTTTTAAAAAATTTGAAATACTCTTCCTTTATTAGCACATATTGAATTTAAAAATAATGGAAAAGAAGAAAATACTCTTTGATTGGGAGGCTGAGGGGGGCTGATTACTTGAGTTCAAGAGTTTGAGATCAGCCTGGTTAACATGGTGAAACCCTGTCTCTACTAAGAATACAAAAATCAGCCAGACGTGGTGGCATGCACCTGTAATCCCAGCTACTTGGGAGGCTGAGGCAGGAGAATCACTTGAACCCAGGAAGTGGAAGTTGCAGCAAGTGGAGATGTCACCAGCCTGGGCAACAGAGTGAGACTCCATCTCAAAAAAATAAAAGAAAATATTATTTGAGATTTCAATTAGTGCTTTCTTGCCCAGGGCCCTAGGACTCCTAGAAGTCCTTTAAGGAGGTAGTGGGGACCTTAAAAAATGTTCTGTATATCTAAAAACTGAACTGAAATGGATTTACTGATAATAAACCTTCAGAGAGTAACTCAAACACCAAATTCATGGAATTATATTAGCTCAGTGAGGTAATGCGGATTATTGCATACTGATTGTTCTTTGATGAATAAAGATAGAGAAATGGAAAATTCCTTAATAAAGGTTGTCAATGAGACAAAAACATTAAAAATTCGAAAGCTTAGAGGAAAAAGAATAAAGGAGGTCCTTGGTGCCAGAAAGCCTGGGAGCCCCTGATATAAAGGCTTGTTCTTTTTGTTCCCTCTCCCTTGGTTATTTGTTCAAAATGTTATCAAAATACCTTTCAAAGCCCAGTGATGTAATTTATGTAAAGTGTTATGCAAATACTAGTTTTTGTTATTAATATTAACAGTAATAGTTATGGTAATGCTCTTGCTGTGGCACATGTGATTTCATTAATAATTCTATCAAGAACCTTAATTGCACACATTTCATTTCCTAGGGATAGATTTAATTTCTGCCACAAACCCTGCATTAGCTCAGTCGTGCCCTGAGAAGCCGTGTGCTCTATGTATGTGCACGTGCTTGTGTAACGTGTTACACATGTGTGTGCATGGGTGCAGTTCACACACATACATCCCATGGTTTTGTGAGTTTTGTATTGCTCTTACCCCCTCTGCCTTGTACAGCTGCACATTATAAGATTCTTTGCTCAGAAAACTTGTTTGAAAGCCTGATGAAGCATTTGGGTAGAGGTGTGAGTTTTTACTCCCATGTTTTTTGCCAATAATTAGACAAATCTAACCACCAAATCTTGTTTTGCCTCTGTGGAGGATGAAGGGTCTAGGAGAAGCTGGATTTGAAAATCTGATCTGGCTGTCACATTGTTTGGGGACTGTGCCTACACACACAGGTTGGTTTGAATGTCACAAAGAGGTCATGAACTCGTGTTTCTAGGTGTGCCCCTGTGATATACACCTGATGCCAAAAATGGATTCGGCTTCGTTCTTCCTTTTTAACTAGTTGTTTTGATGTACTTTGGAGACAGTCTGAATAATGCTATTAATTGGGCAGAGATTAGCACATCACCAAATCACATCTGCTTAAAAGTCAGAGCCCTCGTTATTAAAATAGCAGGAAGTGTAAACTGATCCACAGCAACCTATCTCCGTATTCCTGATTTAAAAAAAGTAATCAGTAGAATAAGACTGGTACCTGCTCTAATCTTTGCTATCACTCCTTCTTAGTCTGCTTTGTATATTTTCTTTCTCCTGTTTCCTTTCTCTTGCATGTGGCTGCCGCCTCATCCAGGCTCACACTCACCGCCAGCAAGCTGGGTGCCCTCATGAACACCCCAGTTCACTCTCAGGATCCCTGTCTTACTCCAGAGTTCTCCCCTGCCTCTCTCCTTTGTGTAAAGCTGTCTTCCTTCTCTTGGTGCTTTGGGTCCTACTGGTCTTTTTTTAGCATCTAAAGCAGCAGGACATCCCTCTCCACCGCCTGCATGTGCGCCTGATCAGGGCGTGTTCTAACCCACAGTGGCCCCCTGTCCAATCACGGTCATGTCATATCTTCCTTGCTCTGAAGCTCATAATTACTCCTTTTTACTTAGACTGGACCTCTTCTAAAACATCAGTTTTTACCATCTGCCAAAGAATTCGCCAGTGACTTAAAAATTCCACCTTCCTCTTATTTATATTGCTCAGATTGAACAGGAGGGTTAAAGTAGCAGTGTGCCAGGGTTTCTCAGATAGCAGAAGCACAACCAGGGCCTCCCGGGGGACCACAGGCAGTCATTTACTGGGTCAGGCATTGAACTAGGTGGGACTGGAGTTGATCTGAATTGGTATTTTTCTCCAAGGAAGTCTCTTTAGATTTGGGGAGCTGGAACAGACATGGAATTAAATGGTGGCTGAAGGGATGTGACAAGTGAACTCTGCTGCCACTTTGCAGCCTGGCAAAAGGGGAACAGCTTTAGGTTTTGGAGTTTCACGTGAGTCCTACTCTGGGTCTCCTGGTTTATCAGCTGTGTGAGTCCTGACTCTCACTTTCCTAACCCATAAAATGGGAATGATGATACCTGCTCCATAGGGTGTTGTGAAGAATAAATGAGACAGTGTATTTAAAATGGCCAGCAGAACACACAGCAGGTTCATGGTTGTAATGTGCTGTGGTAGAACAAGAGAGGCTATCCCTGTGCTCTGTAAACCTAAAAATGTTAGCACAGTCATGCTGCAAAAGGCTTCTGAACATTGATGAAAACTGATGAGCATAATACTGCCAGAAACAAGGCCTCTAATGAAACTGTAGCCTTGGCTATGCTGAGCCTTGTACTTCCTGGGGGTTGTGGCTTCCCAGGGGACTTTGCCCATTAGGGGCAGTGAGGCAGGAGAGCTATTCCAGATCAGGTTTTTAGCCTCAGACAACACCCTCTGGTGGGAAAAAGACATGGCTCACATCTTTAGAGGTTGGGAGAAGGAAACAGAAAATAAGTCTCTAGAAAGAGTTGAGAGTCAGAAAGAGACTTGGAAGAACCCCAGAAGGGCAACTACATACAAAATCTAGGGCAAAGGTCTGAAGATTGAAACATGGGAAAAAAGAAATGCAAATGTAGGAAGATTAGAAATGAGTTTCAAAACTATCTGTACCTGTTGGGACTTTGGTCAAAATCAACAAGGTAATAGGAATACGTGGAGAGTCTTATACTTAGCTTATGATATCAATTGCAGAGATAGAGTTCGTGTGTGTGTGTGTGTGTGTCTGTGTATGTGTGCGTTCATGCGTGAGCACACATGAAGACAACTGTGGGTCTCCTCTTAACAGAAACTAGCTCCTCCAAACATGTGCAGGATCCCATTTTTTCTTGCTGCTGTAAAGTCTCCAATTTCCTCCTCTCTTCATTATCTTTAATCTCTCCCTTTCTTAATGCATTTATTCCTAACAGTTTGAATGCATGGTGTAGTATTTTCCAAGTGAAAATCAAAAAGCAAAACCTTCTCATGGCTCCTTATCTCCCTCCAGCCAGTGCCTCAATTCTCTGCTACCCTTCAACATAAAACTTCTCTAGAAGTTGTCAAATTGTGCTGCTTTTATATTTTCATCTTTTCATTCATTCCTGAGTCCACTCTTTTGCCATAAAAGTAGTAGCCCAAGGGCACTGACAATTTCATTGCACCATCCGAGGGCAACTTTCGGCCTTGTCTTCCCAGCCTCTCAGCCGCATTCTCCAGGGCTGACGGATGTTCGTCTCAGCACAGGGCTCCCTTGGCTTCTGTGGTTCCACACGTTTTCGGGCTGTCCTCTTCTCACCTTCCCCTGCAGTCTCCTTTGCTGGCTCTCTGAGTGTGGGTGTGCTCTAGGACTTAGTTCTGGGTCTTCTCGTCTCTCCCTACACTTATTTCCTAGGTGACCTCCTCTATCCCTGTGGCTTTAAGCATGATGTGTATGCTGATGACTTACTAATTTATGTCTGCAGTCCAGAAATCTCCTTTGAGATTCAGACTCACATATATCCAACTGGCTACTTGACATCTCTGCTTGGATATCTCATAGGCATCTCTAAAGAAACATGTAAAAATAGCATTTTCTATTTTCCTCCCAAACCTGTTTCTTTCCCAGAATATCCCGTCTCCATAAATGATGTCACCATAAATGCAGTTGCTGGAGTCTAAAGCCCTCAGTTCATTAACAAATTTTGCCACATCTATCACATTAATTCATTCATTTGTAAAATTAGCAGTTAGAGTTGATGCTCATTGCTTGTGGTAATTATGTTCTATAAAGTCACTGTGAACACTGAGCGAATACTGAACCATTGCTCTTAGGGAAAACACAGGGTTAGGTGCCTTTCAGCCTCTGGTTATGGTGTTTTCATCAACTGATCAATACATTTTAGGTGTGTTTTGGTTTAAGGATACCTTCTTGAATACACATGTGCACACACACACACACACAAACATGCATGTGTCAATTGGCTAGTTTATTGGTACTCAACTACTTAGTGAAATACTAACCTAAGTATTCTGGTGAAAATATTTTGTAGATGTAGTTAACAGCTATGATTGGTTTACTTTAAATAAATATATACATATATACACACACACACACACACACAAAGTATATATATTCATATATATACACTTAAAGTATGTATATATACACTTAAAGTGTACATATATATATAGTTGATTCATTAATATTGAACTCATAGCCAACAGCACTGGCTCATACTGGAATGAAGCTCACCTAATACACAGATTTTCTCTATAAGTCACACCACAGCTTTTTGCACTTAGAAACACTAGACAGCACTTCAACACTAGGCCGGAGAGCATTTTATACAGCAAAGCACCAACACGAAGCACAAAAATATGAACAAACATGGCCCTAAGCAGGCAGTGAAAAGGACACTTATTGACAGTATGAAACTGGAAACAAGAAGGCAGAATTTGTCCTTTTTCGACCTCTGCTAGGAATGTCCATGACTCAAATTCTTCCCCTGTTTTTGCAAATGCATTTCTGTGAAAAAGGCAAAAATGCCATATGTATTGATTTTGGGGTTACAAATAAATTTTAGGGAATAAGCAAATTCATAAATATGGAACCTGTAAATAATGAGGAACAACTCTATTGCTATTGACACAGCAGACACTGTACTAAGAACTGAAGATAACACTGCTGAGCAAAGCACACGCTGTCCCTTCCCTTACGCAATATACTAAGTCAAACTCCTGTGGGTACTACATTTTGAATCAATCTGCTTTTCTCAAATTCTCCCCCCAAGTACCCTGATTCTTATGACCTATATTTGTCATTTGGGCAATTACCTATCAAATGATTTCCTTCTAATCTTCTAATCTTGCCCCCTTCTATTCATTCTCCAAATATGGGCAGACCAATTCCCTTAAACATGAACTGAATCATGCCACGGTCTGCTTTTTGTCCTTCAGTGATTTGCTCCTCAAATATTTACTGTGGCAGCAGAGTCCTGCTGATCTCTGCAGGCTCTTCTTGAACCACAGCCTCCTTTCACTCATGCTCCTACCACATGAGCGTCCTGTGAGATTCTTGTGTGTGCAAATGCCTTTCCTGCCTCTCAGCCTTTGCACATGCTGTTCCATGGGGCTATGCCTATAGCACTCCATACATTTCTGTTCATCCTCAGATCTAATATAAACTCTATCCCCTTAGGAAAACCTCCCCTGAACACCAAGGCCTGGCTTGTTGTTCTCTATACAAACATACCTTGTTTCTTTTATTACACACTTAATGTTTTATAACATTTATATTTAATATTTTTTCTTTACCAGTTGACTGTGTCAGCCCTCCCTAGACTTTTAATTCCAGGAGAGTAGAGACCATGCTAGTTCTGATACTCATTTCTCAGTATCCAGTACAGTGCCTGGTTCACAATAAGCATGTAATTAATATTTAGTAAATGAATGAATTCGTGAATTTTTAAATACGTTCCTTAGAGTATCAAAGGATCCCTATATACCAGCTTGTCAGCTAAAGTAGAAAAGCTCCAGTATTGTCTTCATCCAGATTTCTTTTGCTGTTTCTAGTAATTCTAGAGAACTGTATTCCAGTTCTTACTCTGGATTTATAATTCAGCATTTTCATTAGGTCTAGGTGTCCACTCTCTAATAAGCAGAACCATAGCAACCTATTTCTTGTGAGGTTCCCAGGTTCACTGCCTCACCATGGGCTTTATAAGGTATTCTGGAGGCTTTCCTAGTCAGTGCCACTGGCTATTCCCAGACAGCCCAACATCCTTGCACAGTGAGCAATATAGCTGGCTTAGGTTAAGCCCCTTTACGGGTGAGTGAGCAGTCATGTGGACCAAATCTTTTGAGCAATCACCTGAACCTAAGTTGCCCTTTCAATCATTCGTAGCTCAGGCCATTGGCCCTAAAATACTCCGAGCTGCACAAAAGAGAACTGGTGACAATAGCGAGAAATTTCAGAAAGTCCTGTTTGAACCCAGTATATGAAAGAACTTTTTAATAGTCATCTGATTGAAGACAAAATGGACTACTTGTAGGTGGTGAACCCCCATCCTTAGAGGGGTTGGAAAGCCATGGTCTGGAATGCTGGAGAGAGTATTATTGTAGTTGATGACGTGATAGTCTCAGAGTTTTTCAGACTGTGACCTGCGGACCACCTGCATCAAGATCACCTGGGGATGCTTGCAGGGCAGTGGGCTTAGTTGTGGTGGCCCGAGCGTGCTTATTGAGAACCATTTCTAAGTTTACATCCAGCCTTAGATATAGATGATATGGGGGATGCAGCATGCGGAATCTCTGAAACTTTAGAGTTCTGACAAAGATAGTCTCTAAGGTGATTTTATGTCTTCCTATTTTGCTCTTGTGATCTCGTAATTATTTATTATTCATTCAACAAATGTTTTTCTAAGTACCAGTAAATGTTTTTGACTTTGGGGATTTTGATGAATTAATTTTACACGTCAATTGGCTAAGCTATCGGTACCCAACTACTTAGTGAAATACTAACCTAAGTATTCTGGTGAAAGTATTTTGTAGATGTAGTTAATATCTATGACTGGTTTACTTTAAGTAAAGGAGATTGTACTTGATGATCTTGTTTAATCAGTTGACAATCTTAAGAGCAAAAACTGAAATTTCCCAGAGAAGAAATTCTGCTTCAAAACTACAGTGTCAACTTCTTGAGTTTTCATTCTGTTAATTTGTCCCACAGATTTCTAATTTGCTGTCTTCACTACTGCATGAGCTAATTCCTTAAAATAAAATTCATATATACACAATATGTACATTTTATATATGTATATGGTATACATGATAGTTTATGATAGATATTATATCTATGTATGTGTATGCACACACACATACACACACACACATTAACATATTTCTCTGGAGAACCCTGACTAATCAAGAAATATAGCAGAGAATAAAACTAAGTCACTTGATCTCATTTTATATTCCATAGAGTGCTGAGTTTTATCTTTTCAGTTTTTTTACATTTATTAAAAATTTTATGATCCGGCATATGGTCTATCTTGATGAACATACCATGTACATTTGAAAAGTGTATATTCTACAGTTATAGGTTAAGGTGGTTGAAAGTATGGTTTGGATAACCTATGTCTTTACTGATTTTAGTCTAAGCATTCTATAAATTTTTGAGAGATTGGTGCTAAAATCTCCCATGATTGCAGAATTGTCTGTTTCTCTTTTAATTCTGTCAATGTTTGCTTTATTTGGTTGTAGCTTATTATTAGGCACATGTTACATTGATGATTGTTTTGTCTTCTTGGTAAGTTGATCTGTTTATCATTTTGAAATGTCCTTTCTATCTTGAAAGTTTATTTGATATGAAAATATCCACTCTGGCCACCTTACTTTTTTATTTTTTATTTTTTATTTTTGAGACAAGTCTTGCTCTGTTGCCCAGGCTGGAGTGCAGTGGTGTGATCTCGGCTCACTGCAAACTCCACCCCAACCCCATGTTCAAGCGATTCTCCTGCCTCAGCCTCCTGAGAAGCTGGGATTACAGGTGCATGCCACAACCCCCAGCTAATTTTTGTAATTTTAGTAGAAACAGGGTTTTACCATATTGGCCAGGCTGATCTCCAATTCCTGACCTTGTGATCTGCCCACCTTGGCCTCCCAAAGTGCTGGGATTATAGGAGTGAGCCACCATGCCCAACCCACCTTATTTTTTAGTTTGCCTAGTATATATATTTTCATTAATTTGCTTTTAACTTATCTGTTAATTTATTTTTAAAGTATATCACTTGTAGGCAGAATGTAGTTGAGTCTTGCTTTTAAATTTATTCTTAAAATCTCTGACTTTTTTTGGAGTTTCTAGTTCATTAATATTTAATGTAATGACTGATATTTTTTGACTTTTACATGCCATTTTATTATTTGATTTTTTTTGTACATTTTGTTTGTTGTTCATTTATTTCTCCTTTCCTGTCTCCTTTTAGACTAAATAATTTTTACAATTCTGTTTTATTAAACTACATTTTTTAAAACATTTTTAATGGTTATTCTAAGTACCACAATATGCATTTTGTACTTCTCATAGTCAACTAGGAGTTAATATTGTGCCAATTCATGTAAAATAGAGAAACTTGGTAAGTGTATAGGCCTATTTACCTCCCTCAACCCCAACCAGGTCTTTTATGCTATAGTTGTGATATGTATTAAATCCACATCGAACCTACAAAACAATGCTATAGTTTTCGTTTAAATAGTCATATGTATTTTTTTTTTTAAATTTAGAGAAAAGTAATATTTTATATATATTCAGATACATGCTATTTCCAATGTTTTGCATTCCTTCCTAAGGATCTGAATTCTTACCTGGTATCATTTTCTTTCAGCATGAGGAGAATTTAGTATTTGTAATATGAATCTGTTGGTGATGAGTTCTCATTTTTAGAAAATCTGAAAATTCCTTAATTTTGCCTCATTCTTAAAGGATAATTTTACTAGATATAGAATTCTGGGATAACAGTTTTACCTCTAGCACAAAGATGTAATTCCATTAAATTCTGGCTTGCAAATTTTCCAAAAAGAAGTTTATAGTAATTCTTACCTTTTTCTCCTTTGTATATAATGTGTTGTTTTTCTGTCTACTTGCAAAATTTTTTCTTTCTTTCTCACCCTCCCTTTTTAAAAGCAGTTTGTTTATGGTATGCCTAGCCAAGTTGACTTCGTAATTATATTACTTGAGGCTTCCTGAGATTCTTAAATCTGTAAATTTATGTTTATCCTCACATTTGGAAAAACTTTGATTATTGTTTCTTTATATTTTTGCTGGCCTCTTCTCTCCTCTTTTTCTGAACCTCCAATAATGCATGTATTCGATGTTTTAACATTATCTCTCAACTCTAAGGTCCTGCCCATTTTTAATCACTCTTTTTTTCATCCAATCTTTAGACTGAATAATTTTTACTGATCTGTCTCCAAATTCTGTTACTTTTTCATGTGTCATCTCTATTTGCTGTTAAGCCCTTCCTGTGAATTTTTAATTTCGGGTATTGTATTTTTACATTATAGCATTTCTAGTTTTACGAAAGATTTTCTGTTGATATTTTCTATCTTTTATTTATTGTGAGCATGTTTTACTTTATATTAAAGAGGATGGTTATAATAAATAGCTGCTCTAAAATTCTTCTCTTCTAATTCCAGCGTGTGGGTCAACTTGTTATTAGTCTCTGTTGATTATCTTTTCTCAAGATTCTTCAGCTTTTAATAGTTATTTAAATGTGAAATAATTTTGACTTTACTCCTACCATTGTGGCTATTTGTTGTGAAGACTCCAGATTTAGTTATATGCCCCTGAAGAATGTTGACTTTTTGTTTTACCAACTAATTTATTTAGATTTAAACTACAAAACCCATTTCTTGGCCAACAGTTTACTTTTTAGCCCTTTTCTCCTTAACTGCTTTTGAGTCTGGCCCTTCATGATTTAGTGAGCCAGAGATATGGGTGGGGTAGAGTTTATACACAGAATCTGGGGTTCTATCTATCTGATTCTGTCTCTCTTTTTCTTTCTAGTGCCTACAGTTGTAACAAACTCTGTGTTTTTAAAAATATTTTTTTGGATAGAAAGACTTTTTTTTTGTCTATTTGAGTTTTAATTATCTTAGGAAATTCTGACTTATTCTTAAAAGTTGTAAATAGGAAACTCCATGCAATTTTCTTCTTTAAAGTCTTGACAGTTTTCCAGAATATGTCTGCATTTGGTTTTTGCTCTTACGAGCTTTCAGGTTTCTTTCTTTCTTTCTTTGGATTTTGTCCTAAGTTTAGTTGTTATCTGAGGGAGGGTTAGTGTGATAGTAGCATATTACTTAACGGGCCACATTAATGGAAGTAACACTCTGAGCATTACTTCTAATTTTAGACAGATAGAACTCCAGGCTCTCAAGAAATGTGTGCATCTTCTAATAGACTGAAATGAGGGACAAAGTCAGGAGTTATCAAGGTTTTGGTAGGATTACTTCAGGGAGCTAGAAGGCATTGCCTGGGAACATGTTTCTGACCTTCATGTCAGGTATCTCATAGAAATTAGTGAAGAGGGAGTTTCTTTGATTTCTGTGTGTGGTGACAATTAGGATTAGGAGGAAGAGCATGCTTAAGCTTAGAAGTCAGAATAATGCAGATCAAGTCTATGCTACACCTCACTTGGTCTGTGGCAAGTGTTACAAGTTATCTAAGGCTACCTAAAACTCCTCATTAGAGAACTTATTGTAATGTTACCTACCATTCCTGCAGTTGTGAAGATTCAATGACATAAAATACTTTAAGGCCCCTGGCACCTACAAGGCACTCAATATATTTTCCTCTTTGTATTTTGGGAAATGGGCTGGTTTGCCTTGTAGTGACCATGTCATCTGGGGGAGAATTGAAGGTATGACCAGGATCACTGATGCATAAAAAGGATATTAGAATTTCATTGAGTTCTAGAGTGAATTTCAGTTTTTTATTTTTATTTTTTTTTTTAAATTAAAGAACCATCATGTACTTTATGGTCAGAGAGACCTGGTTTGAATCCCATCATCTCCAGTTACACATAATATGACGGGCCAATTATTCTCTCTGAGCCTCAGTTTTCTATCTATGTGACAGGAATAATAAAACCTTCCTTACAGAGTTTTATGAGGTTTACATGAAATCACATTTATAAAGCTCCTAAAATGTCCACCAGGGCCTGGTACATAGTAGGCACTCAGTAGACGTTGTTTGTTGCCATTATTACTGTGACGATCGTTTAATAAAAAAATGGGGCTAACATAAAACTACTGATGTTGAAAACCAAGATGAAAGGTTCACTAGAAAAAGGTGGGGCCAAAGGATGTTGTGGGTAGGGCAGGGGCAAGTCTGTTTTCATAAAGAAAGCAGTGGGAAGTAGGAAGAAAAAAGGGCTTATTTTGAACGTGAGGCTAAACTATCTGTGTGAAGGAAATTAACATGGGAGAACCATGTGGAGTTTTGCTAGTAGAGTGAGTCAGGCCCACTCTGGGCCTTTGCCTCAAGGATTAAAGATGAAATTAAATATTTAATGTCCGTTCATAATTAGGTCTTTGGGAGCATTTTACTGACACAGTCATTTTACTCTCTCTGTTTACATTTCCAGCTCTATGAGGAAAGCATTGATTCTACAGTATAACATGCTTGTGTGGAAGAAGGGTTCCTTAACAAAATCACAGACTTATTATCCACCATTTGTAAGTTTAGATGACAGGGTGGTTTCAGTGTCCTAGAGGATCTGTTAGCTGCCCTCCACCAGGACCAGGGGCTGGAGGAGGGACAGCACTTGTCAGGTTGTTGAGGA